CTGGCACCACCCTAAGGAATTCACGGTGTTTTGGCTTGCTGGCTTGGGAAGTTTAGATTGAATCTGGAGAGATTGATGCCAGGTTCAGCCCAAAGAACTCCACGAGACAGGACAGATACAATTCTGTTGCGTTTATTAGCTTCCACCTCAAAGACAGAAATCTCTCCAGACTGAAGTGAGACTGAGTGTGGCCTTCATCAAACCATTCCATCACAGTTTTGTTTTTCTGTAATCATTCCTCTATATGACTGAGCCTCTAAAACAGTTTCTCAACCTTGGCAATTTTAAGATATGTGGACTTCAACTCTCAAAATTCCCCACCCAGCATGCTGGCTGGGGAATTCTGGGAGTTGAAGTCCGCATATCTTAAAGTTGCCAAGGTTGAGAAACACTGCCATAGAAGGACTAGGCATGTGGACTCCTACCAAATTTGCATGCCAGACTAGGGGGCCCACCTTCTGCTTTTATTGTTAAAATAATTACAGTGCACTGTGAGGTCTGAATTCAGGAAACCATGATTTGAGAAGCAACTAGAATTGAAGATTAATTGGCAACATTGTTACTCAAACTAACCACAGCTCAAATATAATTAAGGTCAATCCAAAGTGGATATTGTCAAGTTCTGGCACACAAAAGACGAAGAGATAAAATAATTAAAGGTTCATGCAGGCTCATTCAGCTAACAGGAAACCAGGGTTTGCTGCTACAGCTGAATGAAGCCCATGGCTTAAGGCTTATTCTTAGGAGTCATAAATGGAAGGTGATGCTGGGGAACATGGGGCCTTGCAACTTACAAGCAGCAGTGATGGCAGCAGCAGCAGATGACATCACAGACGTCTGCAGACTGGGAAGAAGTTCAGGGACAGATCCTGAATTCACTTGACTTTTTACAAGCTCATTATCAGTGCTTTTAACTGGAGAGAATGTGAAAAAGTTGAAAAAGAAAAAGAAACACCATAAAGACAGAAAGAAAAAAATCCAAAGAACAGTGACAGCTTTGGTGGAAGGAAAAAGGAGAGAAAGAATGGAAAATAAAATATATTTTAATAGAGAAGGAAAAAAGGACAGGGAAATGGAATTAAGATACACACACAAACACACAGAGACAACATACTTTCAGGTAGGACAAGATAAGCAGGAAGGTTGAATTACATTCATGTCCTGGTTAGGGACTTTTTATAAGGTATCTGGGTAGTAACTTTGGGAACAGAATGCTAAACTACATAGGATGTGCTTAGATTCAGCATGGCTCTTCTTAGGCCTTAATCTCATTTCTATTCATGAACTGGGACCATTGTTTGAGCTTCAGGGCATTACATATTTCCTAACTCTGTCCTGGTACTGATAGTTTGAACCATCTATGGTGAAAGTGAATGACAGAAAAGATTGCACATTACTCTTTCTTTTATCATGCAATCATCCTCCCTCATTCATGAAATGTTACAAGAGGTGAAGGGATCTGACAAAGGCATTTCCCAAGTGTAGTCGTTCTGTGTTCTCCTATCACCTCTTAGGCTTCAGAATGTCTTCTCTGTCTTTTGATTGATAGCACTAGAAGACAACTGCCTAGAAGCATCCATGTTTCTCTTGGAAGTGCAAGCAGACTGAATCTTAATTCAAACCTTGTAGAAAACACAAACCCTTTCTAGCATACTTGTGGACATCTTTGTGCATGCACTCACAAACCATCCATTATACCAGACCTGCATTACAGAAATTAACCCTCATCAGTCAAGGGACAACATTTGTCCTTCTCTACTAGAGGAATCCCCCCTCCCCTGCAGTTTATCTGGAGCTCTGCTGTACAAAATATAAAAAGATATGCTTCAAAACAAATGTTATTGGGAGACAAAAGAGAAAGGCATACACAGGAAGTACAGCTACCTGATGGACTGAACAGCACGCTTAAGATTATACTGAAAGAGTGCTACCTCCCCCAGTTTGTGTGTGTGTAAGTCTTGAACCCAAACAATGCAAATCCAACCTTCATTCTCTTCTCTTCCAACATAGAAGTATCTACAGTACCAAAAAATATTTGAAGTTGCTTTTTTTATACCACTCTGTTAATGCCCGAAAGGAAAACTTCAGCTATCTGTAACAATATTTGCTTTGACTGCCTGGGCCATAAATACAGCATCTTGCTGCTCCAGAGTCACAGTATGGGTTTCCCTCTGATCTTCAAGCAGAGGGGTCAGGATCTACAATCAGCTGTAGCCCAAGCTACGAGTGATCATATTCGAACAGTGTTCTTCAAACTTGGCAACTTTAAGATGTGTGGACTTCAACTCCCAGAATTCCCCAGCCAGCATGGGGACTTCTGGGAGTTGAAATCTACAAATCTTAAAGCTGCCAAGTTTGAAAAACACTTAATGGAAGCTCTAACACTATTTTATTTCACCTGAGCAGATGCAGGTCTGTTTGAGTATCTTTGAACGAGATGCAGAAAGAAGAAGTAAAGTGTGATCATCATATGTGGAAAAAAAGAAAAAGCAAAGCTCCTTTCTTTGTAATAGCTGATGGACTAGGCAGGGGTGTGTGGTTTTTCAATACAAGCCTCATCTGCAAGGATCTTCTCTTTTAAATAAATATTAACAATAAAGAGAATATGCTCTCTTGTCTCCCCTTGAGACCCAAAATGTAGACTAAGGAGAAAAATAAGCATTTGTATTTTTTTAAAAAAATTGAAGTAGACTCATATTACAGCACTTAAGGTACTTCCTGAATCTAGCTATTGACACATAATGATGCCAAGAGTCTGGGGGCAACCCCTCCAATCATATTCTGCTGCAACTGCACCGCAGAAGAAACTCTGTTTCACCCAGGACTCAGTATAAATCAGTGTTTCCCAACCTTGGCAACTTGAAGACGTGTGGACTTCAACTCCCAGAATTCCCCAGCTAGCCACGCTGACTCGGGAATTCTGGGAGTTGAAGTCCACACATCTTCAAGTTGCCAAGGTTGGGAAACACTGGTATAATGAACCACTTCAGATATTAGGCCACTTAGACTGTTGTAAGAATGTGCAATTTCAGGGTCCTTCTGGAGTCAGGGCTCCTGCTCAATGAGCAGGGGGCAACCACAGCTGGGGGTTGGGAGGCTTTGCACAGGTTTGTCTTGTGCACCAATTGTGCCCATTCCTGGACCAGAAGGTTTTACTCACAGTGATTCATGCCCTAGTCACCTCCTGGTTGGATTACTGTAAAGTACTCTTCATGGGCGTGCCTCTGAAGAGCATTTGGAAGCTGCAGGTGCTCCAGAATACAACCGTGTGGGCAGTTTTTGATGTTTCTCATACGCTCATATAACACTGATACTCTATGAGCTGCACTGGGTCCCAGTAGGCTTCTGGGTGCAACTCAAGGGGATGGTTATCACCTATGAACCCCTACATAGCATAGGACCTATTTGCAAGACTGCCTATCTCCCATCATCTCTGCTCACCCCATTAGATCTAGCAAGGAGGGCATGTTCCATATCCCCTCTGTCAAACAATGTCATCTTGCAGAAGTTACACCTTCTTGCAGCCAGAAGTCAGGCCCCACGTCTTTTTTTTAAAAAACTCAGTGGCCTTTGAAGGCTACAAAGGGCATCGCTGATACATCATGATTGGAGGGGGAATCAAAATATTCAGGTCCTTTTGATGGAGTTTTATGGGCAAAATATACAGTGTCTTAAGTGTCACAAAGGCTTAAGGCACTCATTCTGCTTTTTGATCCTCTCTGTAGAAGGGAAAAACTGGCTCATTCTATCTTGCTTACTAATTTCTTTATATGTGTTATTCGAAAAGAGGCATTTTAAGCATGGGTTGAGTTGGGTTTTTGAGCCCAGACTTGCATTACAACTGATGATAAAACAGCTGTAATTATGGCAGATGCAGTTTGCCGTGCATCAGATTTCACAAAGATGACATTCCTCAAGTATCCCTGAAGACCGATTGTCCTCGGCAAGAGTCCACAGCCTGCAAGCACTGGTGTGCAAAACCTTCACAAGAAGCCAGGATTTACCAAACAATTGAGAATGTGCACATCTGTTCTCCATTTACCCACAACTTTCTTTCTAGCTATCCTCTAAAACGGAGTCGGCATTTACCCATTTCTCCCATGTGTACTGATACGGCTTCCAAGGTTCCATTTACAGTCAAACACAAAGACAATCAGGAGTATGTGAGTGGATTAATTAGCTCTATAGATGTCACGCCTTGACTCCTTAAATCTGTTACCTTTCGTGTCCTCATCCTCTATGGTGGTGTTTGTGCTGTCGGATGATTCCTGTGGAGACATATAGGAGTAGGAGAAAGAGAAAGCAGAAGGTTAGTGGCTCTGGCCAAAAACAGATGCTTGGGGAGATGGTGAAGATGTACAACTTGGACTTGCGACCAGAGAATCTGGATAAATCAGAAAAGAGACCATGGAGGACTCAATGAAAGCCATCTGGGTGACTTTGGGCCAGTCTCTCTCTCTCAGCCCAACTCACCTCTCAGAGTTGTTGTTGTGGGGAAAATAGGAGCAGGAAGGACTATTAAGTATGTTCGCCGCCTTGAGTTATTTATAAAAATAAGAAAGGCGGGATAAAAAATCTTTAAAAAGCCTCCTTTTTCAAAAGCCTTGCACGTAACAATAAATGTCAGTATTAATCAATATAAAAGTATTTGCAAGAAAACTAGGGGGGTAACCTTTAATTGAAGATGTACCAAATCTTGATATACTGTAGCTTTCTTTGAAATCACACCTAATCTCTCTTTCTTTATAAGGGGATGCTTGAAATTCCCCCCAAATACAGCACTAAGTACACACACACACACACACACACACACAAATTTTGAGCTGGTTCACCAAGTATACACATTTAAAAAACAGAATTGTTGTTGGCTTTTGTTTTTCTTGCTTCTCAGGAAAGACGCCCTCAAATTTTATCTCGAGTAAGATTGATAGATATAGACTTCTCTTGCAGAATTGACCTGTAATTTCCATTTTTAATGTTGCAGTGTGGATCAACCGAAACAAGAAAAATAAATGCACAACTGACATGTGCTTCTATGCATGGGTGAACCTGGGCTTGAGATCATTATGTCTAGTTGTCCCAAACTCTATTTTCCACTTGAGTATCTATTGTGACATAAAGTGTTATTCTTGTTTGCAGAATTATGGCCCTGGCTCATAACAATAAGGATTTTCTCATTTCTCAGAAGCTATCACTTCTCTTGTCACTTCTCATCAAATAATATGTCATTCTATAATTAAGATATATCATAACATTAGCCAACACTAGAACAACAGCTCTTAAAAAAAGGATAATAATTACTGAGTGATGCTCTAAGTAGGCAGAACAATGTTACTGAGAAAACCTAGGGACATAAAACCTACTTCCTCAATTTTGTTTCTGCAGCCCATTTGCTTTAAGGATTTTCATTCATGCTGCAAAACCATTTGTAATCTAACATCTGTCAATAAAGAAACTAACAAACAGAAAATCCAGCGAATCCAGTTGAAATTCTGACAACAGAACTTTCTTTAAAAAAAAAAAAGAAAGAAATTTCCCAGCTATAAAGTGGCTGCAGTTTGCTATTTGTCACTAACTCCCTAAGTAACCATTTATGAAATTGTGGATGAATATTGGAGTGAAATACTCCTCTTTCTCTCCCTTCATCGTATTAACCCCATAGGAACTCCTGTTTTATGCAGCACGTGACTTTGACAGCCACTGTATTTTTCAGATTTTTGACTTGACCAAATGATCTATAGCAATGTGTCTCAGCCTCAGCAACTTTAAGATGTGTGGACTTCAACTCCCAGAATTTCCCACTCAGCATGCTGGTTGGGGAATTCTGGGAGTTGAAGTCCACACATCTTAAAGTTGCTGAGGGTGAGAAACACTGTTCTATAGCATGACATCCTTTGAGGTGTGAGGCTGGTCTGGGGATAGATATTGTTACTTTTCCTAAAAGTAAGGGTTTTTTTTAAATAAATGCCATTAATTAGATTAAGGGAGTCTACATAGAATACAATCATATATCTCTCACACTATTAATTTTAAAATTCAAAATTCCAAACAGAATGGTTAGTTTTTTTAAGGGTCATATAACTTTTATAACAATGCACATTACATTAACTAATATTAATTCATTAATATAAATGATCTTACATTAATTGGGTTCATTTTTAAAATAAAATGATACCATGTGGAACTTGAAGCAGTCACCCAGTTACAGTGGTACCTCGGGTCACGAACGCTTCTGTTCACGACCAATTTGGGTCAT